GTCTGTACGGGTAGTATGGCGGGAGGTGTTCTAGTGGGTGGTATTGTCTGTGGTGGGTGTGCATGGGTGTTATGAGTGAGTGTGTGTGTGTGTGTGTGTGTGTGTGTGTGTGTTTGTATGAGTGTGTGTGAGTGTGGATCTGTATGTGCATGGGGTGTATATGTGTTTATGGGGTGTGTATGAATGTTCGTGTCTGTCTGTACGTGTTTATGTGGGTGTGTATGAGTGTTTGTGTCTGTCTGTACGTGTTTACGTGGGCGTGTGTGTGGGTGTTTGTGTCCGTCTGTACGGGTGTGTATGGATGCGTGTACAGATATGTGTAGGTTGCTACCGCATGATGTATTATCTAACTAAGCACTAAAATCATTCGAAAATATTGTTTTCTTTGAATATTTTTTAAATAAAAATTTTGATTTCAAAGGAAAAAGCCAATTGCATCTCGTAATTAATCCATCTAATTAACACGTAATTAATCGTAATTAATTCACCTTGTATACATAAAAGTCTCTATCTCAACAAATTTTACTTCCTCTCCCTCTCTCTCCCTGTCTCTCTCTCTCTCCCTCTCCCTCTCTCTCTCATGAAAAAAAAAAAGCAATAATACTAAGAAATGGAAACCATTGTGTAAGCATTTGTTAAAAAATGCAAAAATCTCCCTAAAGGAAATTCAATGATTTAGAAAAAAAAAAAAAACGGAAAGAAAAAAAAAGAATGAACAAAAACAAATCATCCAATAATTTGTGTTGCGAAAAAAAAACCGAAAAAAAAGATAAAGAAAGAAAAAGAGAAAGAGAGAAAAAAACAGAGATTTTTGATAAAAAAAAAAGAAAAGTTTGTTAAAATTTTGTTTTATTGCAAAAATTTATTTATCAACAAAACATTTCGTCAAATTTGATAAATTATTTCTAACATTTTCAGTTTTATTCCATTTTTTTTTCAAAAAAAAAAATTCATACAAATCATTTTTACTTTCTGAAAACATTTTTTTTCTCCAATCCAAAAAATGAAAATAATTAAGCAAAAGGAAAGATTTTTTGTTGATATCAAACGAGTCTAAATTTCATTTCATTCCATTCATAAAATGATAATGAAATTTAAGTTCTTTTTTTTTTCGAAATACAATTAATTCTTTTTCCTATTTAATTGTTTTTTCTTTTTTTTTTTTGTTGAATATAGTTTGCTAGAAATGTTGAATTTAAAAAATGATAACTGATCAAATCAAACGTCAAATCAAACGTCAAATTAAACGTCAAATCAAGCGTAAAATTAAACGTCAAATCAAACGTAAAATCAAACTGATTTAATTAGTACATAATCCAATAAAAATCCAAATCAACTTTATTAATACATTTTATTTTCAGTTTTTTTTTTTATTTCGTATTTTTCTTTTCCATTCGTTTCTTTCGTTAATCCCTCGTAATATCAACAATTTTTTTTTTTAAACTCTCAGAACTATTGTTATTGTTGAAGAGAATTTTATCGAGAGAAGTAGTAAACATCAATCATACTGAATTAAGGTCAAAAATTGAAATTTCCAATTCTGATGGCTTTTTTGCATAAATTTGCAATTTTTAGCTCAACAAAATTATATTAAATTTATGGAATAAACAGAAAATATTGACTTGTATTGTACATATTGCTACAATTTATTGTTATTATTATTATTATGACTATTATTATTATTATTATTGTTATTATTATTATTATTATTATTATTATTATTATTATTATTATTATTATTATTATTATT